CTCGTCATGTCTTTCCTTACCTAACTTTTCTTCTTTGGAGACCTCATGCGCATCTGTCTCAGATACCCCAGGCCTGGGTGAGTCAGAAATCCTCTGCCTGGTCTTCCTCATCCTCCAGGCTGTCATGTTTACTGTGACCCTATTGATCCCTCAAAGGACCCCTTGAGTGAGTCAGCCTTCCGGGGCATCTCTGTGGAGCAGAGACACTGGGGACAGCCTCTGGGACTTCGGTTTCCTCTTTGGGGTGGTGGGGCAGTAACAGCACATCTCTCATGGGGCTATACTCCTCTGCACCACATCCGCCTGCTCCCTTTCTTTGCTGCTACTCCGTGTGACATTAGCACCATCGTAAGAGCATTGTAAGAGAGATGGAAAACCCCGTATACTGAATTCTCCTTCCCTCATTCCAAGGGCCTTCTGTACCTTCTGGATGACTAAATGACAGCTGTGTGACTGAGAGGCACTGGGTTTAAGGTAGAGTGTTTTGGAGCCATGAGGGGCCTTGAAAATTTCTAATCTAACCCCTGTCGGAGCAACTGTAACAGTGAGAGCTGGCACGTGTTGAGCACGTGCTGAATGCTGGCCTCATTCTAAGTGCTTTAAAGGATTAATTAACTTAACATTCATGTTCATATTTGATATTTACAATAGCCCCATATGAGGCCTGTATCATCCCCACTTGATAGATGGGGAAACTGAGGCCCGAATAAGGTTAGGTCAAATGCCCAAGGTCATGTAGCTAGTGAATGGCAGAACTGATGATTGAACACAAGGAGTCTGTCACCTACCTGGCCCCAACAGGGACCTCTGCTGTCTCTAACTCCTCTCACTCACTCCCATCCTAGAGAGTAAATATTGATTGAGTTCTTTGCAGTAAGAGCTCATGCTGATTGAGCATCACATGCCAGGCATGTGCTAAGTAGTTCACATCCTCTCTTGTATTTGATGCAGTGACCCTGGGAAGTGGAAACTGTCATTACTTCAATTTAACAGGCAAGGAAACTGAGGTCCAGAGAGAACCCAAGGTCATGCAACAAGTCAGCTAGAATCAGAACCAGCCTCAGGTGACCCACTCTTGGGACCTATGTTTTTTCCCATTACCTGGAGTAGTCTTTCAAGTTTCATTAAGAAGCTTTTCTTGAGTGTCTACCTTGGACCAAGCACTGTGCTGGTGACTGGAGCCACTGAAGCAAAGGTGACAGAGTAACAGGCAGCTCTGGCAGATCATGGCCATGTGAGAATGCCAGCCCCAACTTTTCTAGAAGAGTCCAGAATCTGGATTTTTGTGTGAAATCCCCAGACTCTCAAATTTTGGCAATGAACTTAAATTTAAAACACCACAGCCACAGTAGACCATCTCCGTTGACTGGTTCGCCCTGGGGGCTGCCATCTGTGATCTCTAGTCAAGAAGGGAAGACAAACGAATGAACAAATCCTCGTGAGATGAGCAGATACAACACCCCAAGGAGAACTTCTAACCCTGGATAGGGGGAGGGGCATTGGGAAGGATATTCTGGAAGGAGGAAACTGAAGAATGGGTAAGAATTTATGAGGCGAACATGGGGAAGGACCTCCTGAGTAGATGGAACAGCATGGAGTGGGAGTGTATCAAGCATTGCAGATGGCAGGTGACGCTCTTTGCTTAGGTGTAAGTGGGAGATTGGTAAGAGGTCTGACCCAAGCACCTGCTCGAAGCCAAGTATAGAGCAGAAGGGCCAAAGAGAGTGAAGCAAGAAGGCCTGCCATGGAAACTTCTTTGAGGAATTCATTCAACCACTATTTTATTGAGTGCTTACTAAGCGCCATGGACAGAATCGTCATAGTCTCTGTTCTCTGGGAGTGCCCAGCCCGGTGGGGAGGCAGAAAATCAAGCACCCATGACTTAGGACTGCTTGTGGTGAGTGTCGAGCAGGAAAGGACTTGTATTAAGACTAAATACCCTATGCTGTGGTTCCTGCACCAAAGGCATTAGCATCACACAGCGACTTATCAGAAATATATGTTCCCAGGCCCCACCCCAGACAACTGAATGCTGGGGGTGGCCCCATAATCTGTGTTTTCATAAGACTTTTTGGCAATTCTGATGCACACTCGTGTTTGAGAACCACTGCTCTTAGGTCATGCCAGGACCAACCTTTACCCACTTTCTCTGGTCGTTTTTTTGTTTCTCAATTGCCCAAGACCCTTCCTACCCCAGGGTCTTTGCACTTAACTGTTCTTGCCATGGCTGCATGACGCTTGCCCTCACAAGCTTCTGATCTTTGTTCAAATTTAAAGACCCTTCCCCCAATCTGTCAATCTCAATCTCGGTGTCATATTCTACTTACTTCATAGCACTCACCACTACTGATATTATATTCTGTATTTATTTGTTTATTTGTATAGTGTCTGTCTCCCTCCTTTAGAAGGCTGGCTTCATGAGAACAGGGACTTGGTCTCTTTTGTCTTGCCAGCATCTAGGACAATACCCAGCATGGCGAGGCACTTAGTAAATATTTTGGAATGAATGAATGAATCTTGTATTGTTTTCCCTTGTGTTCATTCATTCATTCATTTAACAAGCTCTGATTCCTGAGCACCAGTTCTCGTGTAGGTAGTGAGCTTACTGCTGGAAGGGGAGCCATGGCCATTCAGATAGGGACAGTCTAATGTTTGGGTCCTCCACCCTGCCCTCTCCGTTGCACAGCCAGCTCCAGGCCCATGGAACCTACAGATCTGTGGGCTCCACGGAGAAGGAGGGGTTAACAGTGCTGCTTTCTAAAGCCAGGGAAGGGGCTGTTTGGGCTGATTAGGAAGTGAGGGCTTTGAGTGAGAAGGAAGCAGAGAGGCAGCTGCTGACAAGTTATTCCCAGGGATTGTTCAATCATCCTGGGGTTGAATGCTCCCCGACAGCCTTGACAAGCGGCATGTGTCTGAGCCGCGGCTTGGTGCCTGAGACAGCCGTAATATTCCACGCACGGCACCTGGGCCAATTGTGCCCACTGCAGGCAAGAGTCCCTCTGCCATTGCTCCTGGGGGTTCTGCTTGGGCTGCTCCTCAGAGCTCCATCACTTGGAGAGTGTATTAGCAGGATTGTTGGATGCACAACAATTCCTTTTTATAAATAAGAGGCTTTATGGGAAATTAGTGGGAAAGATCTCTTGAGAGTTATTCGGCACGAATCTCAAGAACCTTTTACACATTAAAGCGGATTTGCACTAATGCCCTCATGTCAGAGGGCAATGCAAAAGAGAGGGCTAGAAGATTTGTAGGAATTTTATGTATTTAGATCAGGGTTTCTCCACCTTGGCACTATTGACATTTTGGATTGGATAATTCTCTGTTGTGGAGGGATTTCCTGTGCATTGTAGCATCTCTAGCCTCTGCACACTAGATGCCACCAAAAATGTCTCCTCATGTTGCCAAATGTTTGCTGGGGCCCCAAATCATCCATGGGTGAGGACCGCATACATGAGTGGGAAGTATTGATTTTAAAACTGAAATCTGCAAGGACTGGGCTCAGACTGTCTAGGTATGAATCCTGCTTTGCCACTTAAGCTCTCTGTGTCTGTTTCCTCATCCTTGTCCTGCGGGTGCCCTGAATATCAGCCGAGTTAACACAAGTGAGGGGTCTAGAACAGCGGCTGACAAGTAATAAGACCCAGTAAACATCAGCTCTTGTTAAGAGCCATTGAGATGCTGTTGAATCCCCCGAGGGTTATCTGTAATGCGGTGGTGACGTC